CAGGCAGCGCTCTCGACAGAGGGTCTCCACACGTGGCTGTGGCCGGGCAGCACGTAGAGGCAGCAGAGCAGCAAAAGACTCTGCAAACGTATACAAGTCCGTTAAAAGACTCTGCAAACGTATACAAGCCCAATCCTGAAAACCTTTACCTCCCACAGCTGCTCTTGCCAGCTCTTAAACTGAGCTTAGTGGTGTCAAACAAGAACAGTTCTTTCCATAACGATCTTCAAGGCTTGATCAGAGACTGGAGACAACTAACTCCCAGGCCCTTCTGTTCAACCTCCATCTCCCTGCAGAAGATGCCTGAAAACACTCACCTGGCCCTGTTTCTGACCGCATTCAGATTGTGATTGGAAAGCCAATAATGGCAAAGATTACAGAATGACTGGCTAAACAAACTTACTTGTGTTTGTAATTAAAACCAGTGATTATCTTGCTGCATTTGCCAACCACATCTGAGAAACAGCCAACACTCACAACACGACTGGCTTTGTAAAACATCTCCTTTAACTTGGTGCTAGAGAAGCCAACCAACAGCAATCAGGTTGCACCAAAAAGCAGCGTAGGAAAAACTGCACATACCCCATCCTCTGAGAGCAGCCTGCTTGAAAAGAGCTCGGCTCTGCTCTCAGTCTCCTCCACGCTTGATATCATCTTCTCTGAGGTTGCTCGAGCTAAAAGAGCACGACGTGGCTCTGCGATAAGATGGCAGGCGCTGTGCACATAAGGCTTGCGCTGAACTTGGTCGACCCTGATCTTGTAAAACTTAAGGTTGCGCTTAACTCTAAGCCAATGCACACTCCCATGGACTTGATGTAACCGTGCCAGCAGTTTTATTAAGATTTGGGCAAGATGTCTCAAGGTTCTGTGGGCGTGCTGCATTACTAGGGAAAAAACAGGGATCAAGCCACAACATCCCATGGCTGATCGGCATTCGGTAAGATTTCAGCAGACGCAGATAACGCAGAGAATCAGACATGCAAACTTTTGTCTGCACCAGCTGCACCGAGCCCCACCGGGCAGTTAGATCTGAGTTTGTGCTCTTACTTTTTCTTCTGCTATGAAGCTTTACCCACTGGGGAGCAAAACGGACTCCTGCCTGTCTGCTGGAAACAGCGTGGATGTTACCTTATCGAGGCTTCTGCAAATTGTTTGGGAAGTGAGGAAAAAAAGACTTTAAAGCACATTAATGGCTAAGAAAATGCAGATAGCAACAATATCTTTGAAAGAAAAGCTGGGCCTAAAACATATCCCCTCAGTCTATTTTAGGGTAGAAACTGTTTCAGGGAGAGAACAAAGCAAAGCATTTCAGAGTGACAGAAACCATAAGGAAGGTCTGCTGCTCCTAGACCAAAGAGCAGCAAGACATGCAGCTAGTGATAAAACCGTGATACAGACCTGTTTCTCCAAGAAAAAACCTCAGATAGCTCACATAACCAGACCAACCACACAGCCTCAAATGAAAATCCTGGGATTTTTTTGAATGAATGAAAAGAATCTGTTCAGCAAGCGCAAGAGTAAGTTAGGTCATAAATGTGTAATAGCACATTCACCCTGTATCGATGCAAAGCAGTTTGAAGTGGCAGCAAGATGGGGTCGTTTCCAACGACCCTTCCTTTTTCTAACCGTTAGAATCTCTGAGGTCTGCAAAGTCAGGCGCTGGACCACTGACCCCTGTGCTCAGGGCACTGTGACAAAGCGCAGCTCTCACCCGAGTCTCCATCAAGGTAGGACCAGGATTTAGAGATTCACAAATACCATCATAGCCTGTTTCTGCAGGCTTTTTTTCCAAAGACCTGAACTCAGCTGTTGGAGAAGCAGCACAATGAAGTTGAACAATTCTGCCACCCCATGGGCACTGGGTAAAGTCTCAGGGAACTGGCAGGAAGGGGACAGGATTTACCCACCTCCCGGTGAGAGGAGCTTCATCTATCATCTACGCTGTGTCCACACTGGGGCCAGACGTTTTCTTCAGTCCTTGGTGGTG